TTTCCCTGGAGGACCAGACCCAGGACCTGGAGCTGGTGGAGACCAGGCCTGCGGGGGACGGCACCTTCCAGAAGTGGGCAGCCGTGGGGGTGCCCACTGGAGAGGAGCAGAGATACACGTGCCATGTGCAGCACGAGGGGCTGCCCGCGCCCCTGACCCTGAGATGGGGTGAGGAGGGGCCGTGGGCACAGAGCCTCTTCTCAGGGCAGCAGGGACCCTGGGGGACCTCAGGGGGGTCGGGGCTGAGGCCTGGGGTCAGGGCCCTCACCCTCCCTTCCCTTCTCCTCCCAGAGCCGCCTTCTCACACCTTCTTCATCATCATCATGGGCATCGCGGGGGTCCTGGTACTCCTGGGAGCTGTGGCTACAGCTGTGATGTGGGGGAGGAGGAGGCACTCAGGTGGGCAGGTGTGAGGTCTGAGTGTCTGTCCCCCTGGGGGTTCAAGCCCAGGTAGACGTGTGTCCCGCGTCATTCATGGGAAGCCCCATCCCCACGGTGTGATGGCCAGTGTGGGGCTCTGTGCTCACACTTACTCTAATGAGGCCCGTGGGAAAATGAGGGACCCACTTATCACCTGTTGATGCTGGTGGTGGGGACCCCGTTCCCAGCAGCCCCACATGAGAGGGCAGGTCCCTGCTGAGCACAGACCTCCAGGAGGGCGGTGGGCCTAGTCCCCACACATGCATTTCCCTCAGGTTTACTGATCCTGCCCTGGGTCTACAGGGTTCTGGAAACTTCTCTGGGGCCCAGCGCTAGGGCTTCCTTTAGAACCCTGTGGCCCTGCCTCCTCCCTGGTATCTCATGGGATGTTTTCTTCCCGCAGGTGGGGAAGGAATGAGCTATGCTCAGGCTGCCAGTGAGTATGGGGGGTGACCCCTGAGATCCTGTGACAGTGCAGACGGGAGCCATGCCCCACCCCATAGTTCCTCCTAGTCTCCTGCCCTGGGGCTCTGACCCCATCCTGTTGTGTGTCCCCCAGGCAGTGACAGCTCCCAGGGCTCTGATGTGTCTCTCTAGAGGTGAGACCCTGCCATGGGGAGGGATGGGCAGAGGGAGGACTGGGTGGTGGGGAGTCAGAGGGACACTGTGAGCATGAAGTGGACTCTGAGAATGTCACCAGTTACAGCCACTGACCTGACTCTGTTCATGATGCTTGTCCTCCACAGCGTGAGGCAGCTGCCTTGTGGGGACCGAGTGATGGAGGATGTATTCATGCTTCCACTTCCTGACTCAAGAACCTCTGATTGGGTGGCTGGCCGAGCCCTGCTCCCCATGCTTTCCTGTCAGCAGAGGTGGGGCTGGGCCCTCCCCATCCCTGCCTTTACTGCCTGGGGCTGTGAGCTGCAACTTCCTGCTCCGTCTTGAAATGAGACTGTGGATTGACCTGGCTTTTTATTTTTTATTTTTTATTTATTTTTTATATTTTATTGATTTTTTACAGAGAGGAAGGGAGAAGGAGAGGGAGATAGAAACATCAATGAGGAGAGAGATTCATTGATCGGTTGCCTCCTGCACGCCCCTACCGGGGATCAAGCCTGTAACCCAGGCACGTGCCCTGACTGGGAAGCGAACCCAAGACCTCTTGGTCCATGGGGCAGCGCTCAACCCACTGAGCCACCACAGCCGGGCTGACCTGGTGTTTTAATTCTTGCCGTGACTGGTAGAACTACCATATGACCCAGCAAGTCCACTTTTGAGGATATACTTGAAAGAAATTAAATTATATCTTGAAGAGCTATCTACACCCTCATGTCCATTGCAGCATTATTTACAAGTAGAGGCCTGGTGTACGAAATTCATGCACTTGGGCGGGGGGGTCCCTCATCTCTGGGACCTTTCACAGTCTGGAAGCACTTGGGGGATATCTGACTAATGGCTTAGGCCCGCTCCCCCTGTGCCTAAGTCCGACATCCTTAGCGCTGCTGTGGAGGTGGGAGAGGGTACTATCACCACCTCTGTGCTTGCCAGCTGTGAGCCCGAATTCTGACTTAGCGGTGCTCCCCCTGTGGGAGCGCACTGACCACCAGAGGGCAGCCCCTGCATTGAGCGTCTGCCCCCTGGTGGCCAGTGCCCGTCATAGGGACCAGTAGTTCTACTGTTTGGTTGATTTGCATACTAGCATTTTATTATATAGGATGGCAAACACATGGAAACAGCCTAAGTAATGATGACTATAGTAGACTCAATAATACATATTGTAGACTTGAAATTTGCTAAGAGAAACCCTCACCCTTTGAAGTAGCATGGATGGACCTGGAGAGTATTATGCTAAATGAAACAAGCCAGGCACAGAAACACAAACCCCATATGATGTCACTTTATGTAAATGAACTGAGTAAACTGATAAAATACAAACAAAGATGTGGATACATGGAGAGGACTGACAGATCTCAGAGGGGAAGGAAGAGGGGGAACAGGAGAAAGAAGGTGAAGAGATTGGCCAAAGGATATACACACATCACAGCCCATGGTCATAGCCAACACTGTGGTGATGGCCAGAGGGGATGGGAGTGGAGGCTGGAAGGAGGTGGGTAACGGTAGGGAAAATGGGGACATCTGTAATGGTGTCAATAATAACAATGAAGTAAAAAAATTGCTAAGAGTAGATCTTAAAAGTTCTCACAGCCACACCAGTGGTGACTAAGTGATGGGATGCATATGTTAACTACTCATCGTGGTCATCAATTCACAATATACTCATATATCAAGTCATTACACAATGTTCAATATGTCCATGACACCCCGATACATCTGGAGGGGAAATAATATGGAACCAACACAAACCAAAGGAAAAAACAGGCAAGTAGGAAGAGCATGCAAGATGCTGTCAGAAGTGTGTAGACGTGTGACACAATGTCCATGATACCTTGACTCGGGAGCCCCTGCAGTCCCCTCAGCCCCGCCCTCAATTCCTACCTAGACCCCGACCCTGACCCAGGCTCATCGCTGCCAGGGCCACCGCAGCAGGCCATGGCGGGTTGCCTCAGAGCCGCGGATGGAGGGACTGGTCGGTCCCAGGAGGGACAGTCGGGCGGCCCGGAGCCCAGAAAGGAGGCTGCATATCTCACAGCAGCTCTGTGGGTCTGAGTCCTGGATGGGTCCTTCCTGCCGCCTCCTCCGGGAAGGCTTCATGGGTCAGCCATGCACCCCGAGCGTTGTGTCCCCAGAGGGTGGCGGGTTCTGGGAGCTGCGTGCGCTGTGCTGTCTCCATGGACATGCAGGAGACACGGCCTGCGCTGAGCGATGGGGAGTCCCAGAGACACGGTCAGGTGACTGAGAGCAGGAGCCTCTCCATGTGGAGGGGGAAGAGGTTTCTCTCACAAACAGAGTCACCTCCTCACCAAGTCGCCATGCGCCTGGGAGCTGCCCTGCTCTCAGTCTCACAGCTGGAGGCCTGGTGGAGGGGACACAGCTTGAGAAATCCAGGAAAGGTGGGCTGGGCCCTCCACCCTCCCCATCACTCTCCTTACTCCCTGGTGCTCTGACCTACAAGATCTTTCTCCCATATGGAAATGAGACTCTGATGTGACTTTGTTCATTGCTTGGCATGAAGCGTTGATGGGTTCATTAAAGGAGAAGATCCTCAAGTTTGAGAGGAAAGGAATGGAAGCCCTGAGAACTTTGCAGGTCCCGTGTGTTAGCAGTGCTGCGCCTGTTCCAGAGGGGACGGGAGGGGCTGTGAGGACTTAGCGTGTCCGGGGCCTGTGCCTGGTCAGTGCTCAATGCATCATGAGCTTTGATGTGGTCACTCCCTGGCCGGGTCACCTCTCTGCTCCTCTGACCTTGTCCCTCAGTAGAACCCTGTCCCACCAGGAACTGTGGTCACAGGGGCTCACATCCCCCCAGCCTTGTCACGTGTCCTAATGCAGCGCTTCGCCTGGACCCTGGACAGCGAGGTCTTCCCAGGGCAGGTCCGTCTGGGCTCAGGCCTGGGTCCCCGGCTCCGCCCTCATATCCTGGCTGTTTGTGGTTTGTTTGCTTTGGTAGATATTATGCTTGTTCCTGTTTTCATGGGTGAATTTTGGTCTCATTCTCTGGGCATCCCCCCGTGTGACAGCACAGGGTCAATGTTCCCCGTCGTTGTCCCACAGGCCCAAGGCTCCCTGCACACAGGACCCCGCAGTGTGGAGAGATGGGTGTTCAGGCTCCTCCTGCTCTTGCCTCCTTCTAGGGCCCTGTTTTCCCCTGTCAGCCCCTCCCTGCTGCTCCTGAGGGGTCCTAGAACTCCTGGATTTTTGAAATCACAGTTGAGATGAGAAATATGTAGACATCATCAATACTGATCCTTATTTGGGAATCATTTCGTCAATACCATTTATCATATAAAATCCACAACAATCAATGTGAAACAAATGCTGCCCTGGGAGATGTTCAAGTCAATTCCTAATCTAAGGAGGGTAATAAAGTTACATGAAATTATTGAGGAAATACGTTTCCCTTTGAGCAGTGCAGCTGTTGAAAGATGTCTCTCTCTCTCTCTCTCTCTCTCTCTCTCTTTAAAAGGAATATTGCAGATGTTATGTAAACTTGATCTCAGTGTGCATATGAGCAAGTCCCGCCTTCCATTGGCACATGTCTGATGTTGGACTTGGGTAGCATCACTCCTGCGTGAGTGGAGAGTTTATTTTCTGGAGGAAGATAAACACACAGGAGAATGAAGAGCTGTTTTACCCATTTTCTGTATGTTTATTCCATTCCTATTTCTGTGAGATTCGGTCATGTTACAGAGAATATCAGGTAGGAACTGGGTTTTCAGCGAGTTGCTTCTTACAC